GTACGGGTGGTCTACCACTCCGGGACGCGGCGTCTGCGTGTTCGCCACACGGTGCGGCGAATGAGTCGAAATATGACCGAGGGATTTGTAAAATGGTGTTTAGGCATGATAGCCCGAGCGAGAACAAGCTTTGCTTCGGAATGTAAGTAAAGCGTGCGTTCTCGGATTAAGCTGACGTGTTTAGGTCACGACGACTGAGAACTCTTTTGACGCTATTATAGCTCAAAGAAAGAACGCGTGCCAGACATTTTCCCCGCGCTTCAGGGACATTGTCCATTGTTTGCGGACTCTGTGCCGGTGGCAATCAAGAGAGTATGACGCCTGGTGGGAGATGTACACAAATCCACAGCTCAACAGCATACGCTAATGAGAAGTGACGTCATACACAGCCAGCCGTCGTGTCAGGCCGGTCCTGTTCACTGATCATGCCAACTGTCTCGCGCTAATTGAATCTCGCCTACACCAATCTGACTAATTATCCAGTGTCGGACGGCGTCTGGGGTTGGGACATTGGGCCGACGGCGCCGGCCTCGCGGGCCGTCCCCGGCCGTCTAGCCCGCTGACGCAGGGCTGGGTCGCCCCGGCAGGCGTCACCACCGTGCTGACCATGACGTTCCTGGGCCTGGAGGCGCGGACGGACCTTCCGAAGGTGCCGTACACCACGGCGCTCGACCTCTTCCTGTGGCTCTCCTACGGCTTCATCTTCGCCACCATCGTGGAGGTAGGACACGCTCGAGTGCGGGTGGGCTGGGGGTGACAGGCTAATGCAGAGCCTGGATTTCAACGCTGACGATAGTTGACATTCCAGTGCAGCCACGAGCTTGTCGTGATCAACAATCCACGCGTTCATCGGAAGTTTGTCAGTCGCTGTGTAAGACAGATAACCTCGGCTCCACAGTCGCCATGCCGGTGGAAACAAGTCTATCAGAAGTGCTTCTATGCCATGTAACGCTAAAGGGTCTCCGGACAGTCCAGACAGATTCACTATCTACGAGTGAATTGTCTGAAACTACCCATCTAACAGTGACCAGCACATGCTGGGGAGCAGAAAGGCACAGAAGACACCAAGTAACAGGCGTTGCGTTGGCTTTTCCAGTTTGCCTTTGTTCACTACTTCACCAAGTACGGCTACGGGGAGGTGTACTTCCCTCAGCCGGACTCATCCTCCTCGGCGGAGGAAGACGAGGATGAGGAGGAGGAGCAGATGTCGGAGGAGAGCGACATTCTGCCAAGGAACAGGACCGAGGTTCGCGAGGCGTGTGGGCGCGATGGCCGGCTCCCTGTTCTCTCAGTATGCATCGGGAGGCTGGGAGTGTGTGTTACGTTGGGTTTTGTTTGCTTTTCACTCCTACGGCTGTTCAATCGTCTGACATCAGCTGCTGACTGCGAGCGTGTTTTGGAGACGGCGGTCCTGGGCCGAATCATTTGTGGCACAAAAGAGAGCTGGAGAGCACAATCAACGACACAAACGGCACGGCGCCGACTCTACGTAAAGCGGGGTTTGTACCACAGATGGTCAGATGCCAATATTTGAGATCCATAACACAGTTGCGTAAAAGCGCTTACGTTCGTTATGTGGATGTGCAGTTTACCACTGTTTATTTTTCGTAAGTGCTAACAGTTGGTATCGGGGTTTTCGCTTGACCGATGTTCATAAGTGAGATAGGAATATTGAGGCGTTCGTGACCTGCGCGACAAAAAAAGCAGATAGCATTTTTGTATAAGATATCCAGTGCGCGAGCCATGCAGGCTGCAGCAATATTTGCACATCTTCATGGGCCCTGACCGCCTCCTTAACCTACCAAAGGTATTCAGTTGCGGCTAGCAGGTTTAGAGCGTCGAAACGTCATTCGTTGTTTAATCATAATGAATTACGACGCATTCACTACCAACATTGCAGTTTCCCAACATTATCCAACATGCCTAGCCCAACATGGTGTGTTCGAGGAGTGCAGTAAATATACCGTAGCAAATTGCATGTGACAAATGCATTGAACGCATCTTTTCAACAAGAGTCGCTTCCATCCAGTCGCTCTCAATGACCCCATAAACCCAAGTTCATTTCAGGCTTACAAACATCTGCGATATGAACAGCAGAGCCAACGAGCGACCACTAAAATAGCATTGGTCTCACGAACATTTGCCATGTGGCCATTTGCGATACGATCAGTCTTGGCAAGAATCTTGTGTTTGCGAACATTTGTGAGCACTTCTGAGCATCTGCGGGGACGGACATTTGCGATGCGATCGTCTGAGTTGCGAGCATTGATACTTGTGTGCGAAATTACCGGTACGCAGCGCCAATTAACATCAGCGCTTGCAAACTTTACCGTACGGATGTTTGCTTGCAGAACTGGCCATATGAACACCGCTTCGGGAATGTCGGGAATATTAACAATTGGAAAGTTGAGAATATTTGAAATAGCACGAAATGGAAGCTTGACATCGTACAGGTGATGCCTCATGTTTTGCTCCTTTTTTCTAAAAGAGAACGCGACGAACGTTGCCAGGCACCCTTGCCCAGAGCACAATGTATGTCCGCATCTTACTGCTGTCATGACACCACCTGTTCGCTTCCAGCTGTCGTTCTTCGCGAGCAGCATCAGCGAGCTGACGGCATCTGCAGACCTGCTGCCGAACGGGACCCTCCTTCTGGAGGGGGTGTCGCTGGCGGAGAGCGGCACCGGCGGCCGGCTGCGCGCCCGCTCCACCCTCTCCCTGCCGGAGCGGCCGCCGCCGCCGGCCGGGCGCCGCCGCCGGCCGCGCCGACGCCGCCGCCGCCCCTTCAACGGCGTCATGCACACGCAGTTCAACTCGGTGTCGCGCATCGACCGCGTCAGCAGGGCCCTCTTCCCGAGCGTGTTCCTGCTGCTGAACGTGGTCTACTGGTACTCCTACCTGAGTCCACAGCGCGCGCATTACGCTGGTGTCGGGCGTGTGAGACGGCCGCTGCCGACGGCGCGGTCGCGGCGGACAAGAACGGCGCGGACGCCGCGGAAGAGACGAGCAGCGCGACCAGTGCGCGACCAGCTGGCGCAGACGCCGCGGACACCACTGGCAGCTCTCGCGCACGGATGAGCCTGGTGGCCAATGCCGGCTGGTGGCGTGGGACTGTATACGTGGAACAGTAATACGTGAGGCGGGACAGCGAGCACCACACGCCAGTCTCAGGAACGCGGGCTCTGTGGTCGGCGAGGAGAGCCGGAGCTGTGCGGCTGCTGCTGATGTGCAGTGGTGGTGACGTGACGGGCTCGTAACCGCTGATACGCAAAGCCGAGCTCCGACGTGAACTGCGTTGCTCGTGGAGATATTGTCGCTGGCATGCTTTGTTTGCGAAGCTTCCAGGATGACGGGGTTTCCTTGTGATCCGCGCCCTGACCTTGCTTTCTGGTCATTGATGGGAGTGCGATCGCCGCGGTACTTTGTTTCAGTCGTTTTGTTGCGTCAATTCTCAAGACTCCGGCGAAGACCCTGACCTTGACATCAAAAATGTGTGGTCTCTTAGATCATCTCTCATGATATGAGCGTGTAAACATAAAATTTCCTCATAACAGACGCTAGTGTTCAACGTCACTACCAGGACGCCGCATCTTCCGACTGCGAATGGCCAGGGTCACGTGTTGGACAACTGGGACCTGCCAGCTCTGTCATTCTCTCGGCCCCAAATGACCTCGCCGTGTAACCAAGCAAATCACTGCTGACTCAATGGGGTCATTGTTTTCTAGGTACGAAGAAAGCTTGCATTGAAATTTAATGGCGGTGAGGAAATCAAGAGTTCAGTGGGAAATGCTGCCGGCGTGGCGTTCTGACCAGCTCATCACTAGCACGCATGTTGTATCTCGAAGGCGACGCGCTCACGGCAAAAGGAACGAAGGATTAACTGAACGGTGACAATAAAGTGTGCGATGTTCGTTCTTTCTTAGATGTATATGCCCCTAAAACATGCACAGACCTTCCTTTAATATGGTAGCATTTAAGATCATGGTCTGAGACATATGCCCCATTTGAAGTCCGCACATCTAATAGCAGTAAATTTGCCACTGCAATTTACAAGACTTAAGATAAAACTTGACGCAGAGCGACAAAAGGAACCAGCAAAACATCACGATCCATGTTCGGGGTTCACGTGTGTTTCGTAATGAAGCCCGTCATGCCAAAGGGGATGCATAACATTTTGCTTACAGGACTTCGACACGCAACGGATCTCCAAAAGCAAGCAATGTCCCATCGGGTTATGCTTAAGTCATTGCAGATATCGACTAGCGATTTATGCTTGGTACAATGATACTAAGGTTTGTGAACACAAACATCACGCATTATCAATGCTGACGCAATGATTCCTCACTATGGTCCAACTACATCGAATTCATCACAGCAAATGTCTTCCCACCACAGGGACAGCCGAATTGCATCAATTCAAGCCAAGCAAGGCCTTCTTCCCTTATCTGGATTAAAAATCCACATGACAGGAAGCACAAACAACCATGTTCGGAGTGCGCAATCAATTGATGGATTTGTGGGCCGGGAGCTGGCCTAAAAAATCATCAGTTTATAAACATCTAAAACACTAAGCGATCGCCAACATTATGCATGGTACCGACACGCTTTATTGCATTAAACACGAAGAGAACAAGCAAATTTCGACGACATAGCCCCTGTCTCTTGGCCCGGGCCTCCAAGTATGCATCAGTCCACCTTATAAAACCTCGGGCCCGCCGCACACCTACGTCGATTTACATTGAAGGCGGACTTGTTAAGAGCACCACTCGTGTCCCCGCCGCGGCACCAGCGCTGGCTAGCCCCAATCCTCCCCTCCCCACTTGCCGGGCAGCGGCCACGTGACCGCCTCAGTCCGTCAGGGCCCACGTGTTGGGCGGCGGCTGCGACCAGTACAGCGTCCAGTAGAACAGACTCAGCACGCCGAAGAGCAGCGGGAAGAGCACGCGCGACACACGGTCGATCATGCTGACCGAGTTGATGCTGGAGGCGGACGAGCGGCGCTGGCGACGGTACATGTCGCTGCCGGCCAGGCAGTGCAGCACCTGGTACCAGCAGGGGTCGGAGCGGGCGGGGCGGTCGGCCGGCGGCGACGGCGGCTGCCCGCCCACCACCGCGATGTGGACGTTCAGCACCCCCTGCCGACGATGAGCAGCGCGTCAGAAGGGAGGAGAGAGGAGCGGAGAGAGGGTCGAGGGCGGGCGAGGGGAGCGGGGTGCGTTTTTCGGCGCTGCATTACTGAGGTGGGAGAGGAGGTGATGATGATCTAGTGGGTGGAGATTGAATGATTGCGTGCGTGGGAATCCTTCCGCCTTCGGTGATCGCGCGCAAGAATCACGCCCAGACAGTAATAATGGGAGAGGGAACGGAAGCGCCGTCGCAAGAAAACCAATCACTTCTTTCTTTATGTGACAGGCTTTGGACAGTGGGCATTGCTACCAGAAACGAATCGTTTTCCTGTTAATAGGGTAATCGTAGCAACAGCCTGCATTACTGTAAATCAAGCGGTGCTATCAGTTAGTGAGGGTTGTCAGATGGGAGGTCCTGAACTGTACGCTACTTGTTAGGACGCTGCACCAGCAGAGCACTTTCAATTGCGATGCGTACGAACCACTTTGATATGGAAAAGATCAAACACAAACATCAAACACAAAAGATCAGCAAGTACACAACAACGAAATGAACAACTTAACTTAGCTTAACCACGACCTTCAAAGTACGCTGTTAACACTACAAGTTTTGAAGAAAATCAGGACATCAGAATTGCGACTAAGATTATCATTTCTGATGGACGCTCGCATGGTTCAACCAGCGGTATAGCCAGAAGTTCATAGCCTCAGGACGCATCAATTTGACAGAGGCGTAAAGAAAAGAACGTTTTTCTCTCCGGTGTCTAGCTGTCGTCCTAAACTGACGTCCGGTCAGCAGGTCCATCCAGCTTGTGTCGTAAAGAACTGCAACCGCATCCTGACACGCCTCCAGGAGCCACGCGCCCAAGGCAACTCAATACTGCCGCACGCACGCAGGCGCCATTACTCTCCGGGTCTACGCATGATTTTTTGCATCGGTGCGCGTGCGGTTGCCGTGACGGTACTAGCAATCAAGAGCAGTCTCCCGGCCGGCTCCTGGCTGACGGCCGCAGCATCCTCCCGCGGTGGCCATTCGGTGGATGTCGGTGAAAACAATGCAGGTGGACACAGGCGGCATGCCAGCTTTGGTTCACGTCACTGCTCCTGATTAAGCTGTGATGTGATAAAAACGGGGCATATAATAGCCTTCATATAACAGATGCAGCTGCCGCCCGCACTTCTTCGGTGCCCCGGGCAGGTATGACTCACTTTTAGGTCACTTGTCTACAAAATAATTGTGCTATTATTCGGTTCAATTCACTGTCATTATGGCCACGGCGATAAAGTCAGCAATGACATATTTTGCGAAAGCAGCACTTCAAACTGTACCACTAGACGATGCGTGAGGCGTGACTGCAATGGCGTCGATGTTTGGCGCAGCTTTTCTACCGGCGGAGCCACGCCAAATGGTATTTTCAATGTGGACGCTATTAACATCATCACAGCAAACATCACTCCTGGAGAAGCCGTGATAAACGCGTTAACGCCACGTGCATTGTCCTCAAGTTTATAGGTGAATGGTTGGGACTGCTTTGTAGATGTGTCGGATGTGCGTCTTTAGCACCAAAAGTCACTTTTGTGCGAAACGTCGATTCGTCTGTTCCGTAAAACAGCCACAAAGTCCGGGCTTGTAATATAGGGATCATTTGTTTTGATGAAATAGGAGCAGCATATGTCATCGAAACACACGCAACAAATAAAAATGCTAAGTTTAAAATGTCCAATACACCATTTCGCACTCAAATGTTGTGTACATGAAATTTGTAGATAACAGATTGAAGTGTCGTTGAAATTAACATAATAAGCAGCCTGCGGATGAAAGAAGTCAAATGTACCATTTTGTACATCAGAGCTGGGCAAAGCGAATATATATATATATATATATATATATATGCATGCATTTACAGATGTCCATTTATATATATATATATATATATATATATATATATATATATATATATATATGCACGTATATTACCCATATTGTCGCTTTCACAAAGGATTACGGCGCGCGAAATTTTTGAAGCTTTTCTTAAACTTTCTTAATGTTTATTTACCGACCACACGCCTTTTATCAGGGATTTTCAGTTGGAAATATTTCGCAGAGATTTTAAAACACATTTGCAAAGATGCATGGCTTGATGAAATTGCGTTTTGCTGGTGTCAAGCAAGATAACGATTTTATGGACAGGTCTGATTCTAGATATCTTCCTACGGAATCTTTTTAAAAGTTAAAAAAACGTTCAGTGGCATCTCTGACGCAGACGCGGCAAAGCAAACTCTCATATCCTTGCAACGTCCCTGTTCATAGGCATGTGGCACTCACAGAGCTCACATTCAATATCTACAGAACTTGTCCGCAGTGACAATGGGGCTTACAGGACTCTGATCCAAGATGAATGCTCTTTGGATGAAATAATCCTCAAAGCCTGCCCAGCTCCACACAGCACCGATACAAACAATGATGGTGTAGCCGGCATCCAGCGCCCTCGGCCGGTTCACATTACAGATCGCCAATCCTATTGTCTAGAATTTTGGGGAACTAAAGGCGTGAGTTGAACAGATGTCTATAAAGGCTCCTGCCTAATATACGAAACTTATCCTTCATTGGATTCACGTGGTTCGTCTATTAAACGTCAACGGAGCTGCATGCAAACCATTTTTTTTCCTTCTCAGCTTTTAAAATATAGACATACCAAAGCTTAATACAAACGTTTCAAAAACTTTTTAAGACTTTTCGGTGCATTAATCCATCGCGATGACGGCTATGAGGATAAATCTCGCAAGCAGCCGCCATCTTTGTCTCACTTCAGACGAAAAGGCGACTTGGAGGAAACGTCGAACCAGTAACGTTTTCTAGCGATGAATATTGAACGCCACGAACAATGTCACTCAAGGGTGCTGTCCAGTCTTAATTTTGATAAGTAAGTCTCGCTGAGCACGCAGGCGTGCGTGTTAGGATTTTTGCTACTAGGATGAAAGCAGAGAAAAGACGTGAGCATACATATTCATATCGCCACTTTACTGTTCATATAATTAAATTATTTTGACGGAGTAGTCCTTGACCCATTAGATGCATGCAAGGCTGTATTTTCCCAAGGATATGAAGAAGAATAGATGCGTCTCATTTTTGGGGTGGTTGTCACATTACTGGCCGCAGCCGCCCCCTGAGTATCCTCAAATGGATAACTAAACAATTAAGACACTTCATGCCGTTACATTTTAGACCTGAAAGCCTCTGAACACGGCTTGGCTATCACATTAGAAAGAAGAGAGAATGCGTCGCAAAGGGAGTCAAGAGTGGTCATCCTATTTGCATACCCGCGACCTGTCGAAGCCAGCAGGTTCCGCCGATTCGGACTGCGCCCATCTGCAGCGATATCCTTTGCGCTCCAGCCGGCCAGATCCGCACGCTGCTCTGCGATATTACCGCCCGCGTGTCGGCTCTTCCACAGGCTGACAGCAGCGCACGGATATCATGGAGGGAGGGGGCAGCGGCAGACGCGTGCGCGACAGCCCTCTCCGGCCTGATCTGATCTGCACGGAACAAATCCACTCAGCACTGGAACGTCTATCGCATTAGGGAGAAGTGGAGGAGGGGCGCTCTCTCGCAGCACCATCTAGCGGCCCTCCTGTGAAGGAACAGTACCAACAGCAGGCAGAAGGCTGCAGCAGAGCGCCATTAAGCTGATACAGGAAGGGACTCTGGGATGTTGGCACGCACAACGCTAGGTTGCTTTGTGGACAACAGACACCCATCAAACAGCCAATCAGAACTTCCTAAATCTGGGGCGTATCCAGGATTTTGTTAAGGGAGCGGCCACGGTGCGCTGTGGTGCCGTGAAGCTTGGCGAACCCTTTCACGGAAGGTCCCAGATTTCGTTCGCTTCATTTTCAGATCCTCATTCCATCATCCGGAAGCTATCTTCTTCAGAGTATCGTCACGGTATGAAGAAGGTATCCAGGTGCATGGTAAGTTAACGTTTTATTTCTACCACTGGATCCACTGGATATCGCTGGATCCTACCATTCTGAGCTAAGTGTGTCGGAAAAGATACCGAGAAACGAGTCGAAGATGGCTCCTAAATACCATTGAAGCCACGCCACAACACGACACGAGTGACTAGCCATCGCCAACTTACCCGCGACGGAATCAGCAGCGAGTTGCATTTTGCAGGTCGCGGACCGTACAACGATTGGTTAAAATCAAAAGCAGCAACTTGTACACGATGCTAAATAATGATGACTTAAGTGACATAACTTGGCGCAGATGTTGAATTGTTTGTAGTTGTAGCACGAAGCTGACCTGCTTGGAAGTCAAAACTAATCTGCTTTTTACCCGGGAGCGGGGTTTAGTGGGATGGTGTCTGGTGGTCACTTTGATTTTTTATGACAGGGACCGCCGTCACAAACACGTTCAATGAACTTTTGAAGGTCATAGTAGGTCACTGAACGAAAATGATCCAGGTCAACATTTTTTTTTTGAACTTATCGCCCAGCGTAATCCTTGACGCATGTTGGAGTGGCAAAATAGGAGCAATCTCATAGCTATTTGGTCAACTTTACGTTATAAAGGTCATGCAAGACCGCTGACTTCATTTAGCTTTTCATTAGAACAGATACCTAGCCTCACGGCGGTCGCGTGAGGAGGTCTGGATGGTACTTAAGACGCCAATGTGGAGTGTGACCTTGTTTAACCTTATTCAACCCCAAGGTCATAAATGAGGATCCTCAAATTTGGACACAACTGAGTTCACGCACAGGTTAATGCACCCGGCGAATTTGGTATCGCTAGCTATATCAGAGGCATTCTAAAACAGCGCACATTTTGCTAATCAACTGTTTGCACGTTGTCGTTGTATTCCGTTCGGAAT